GGTACCGACATCTCCAAATGCTCTTGTTGATCGAGTTCATGGTTCCTGCTGCCAGACAAATATGTCTACTGACTTCTTGGTCTGACAGCCTAGAGATATGGACTATGCTACCAAGGTTTGCTCTCTGTGACTTCAACGTCCTCACCGACCGATCGACAGAAAGGGTTCCCCCAACAGGCCCTCAAAGTCCTGAATTTGATCTTGGTCCAGGAGACCTCTAGGACCGAGGGCTTTGCCTCACTGCTACATTCAGAGCCCGCTCTCCCCCTCCCCCCTGATGTCCTTGCTCTCTCCCTCTGTATCCCTGTCTCTCTTTCCCTCTCTGCCTGTCTGCCTCGTCCCCCCCCCCCCCCCCTCTCTCTCAAGGGCGTCATTTCAGCTCTGGTGAGGCTGGCGAGCAACTAATCACAACCAGTTTCTATAGCGCTACCATCACTCCGAGAATTGTTTTTGAAAACTTACTATTCTAGGAGCTACGATCAGAGCCCCTCCCCCCCCCCCCAAGAAAAAATACGTCCCTGCTCTCTCTCTCTTTCCCTCTCCCTCTCTCTCTCTTTTTCTTCACACATCCACCCACCCCTTTCTGCCAGTGTCTCTCATTTGGGTCCATGCGCCTTTACATGGAAATAAAGAGAGGACATTTCTTTTTAATTATATACAGATACTAATAACATTAACCATAAAGTACATACATCGGTCAGCACTTATTATTTTAATTTTCTTAGCTGCCGTGGTTGGTATTTTCGTCAAATTGTATCAGTTTCATCCTCACTCTGAGGAGAGAGGTCTTACTCCGGTTATAAGATAATTACGGATCGTCCGGTTACTGTAACGACGAATAATCTTTGTCATTTCATCTGCTTTATATGAACATGTTCATATAATTCCATTCACTTTCCAAACTTTCTCATAGATTTTATAATATTTATTGCTATCAAAACCATTTTACAAGTTCAAACTTTATGCAAACACATGTTATTGTTAATATACAAAATCGAAGAGATTAATTGAGACACCGTGTGTTTGAGAGGGAGTGTTTCCATATGTTTCCAATGACTCTATCAACAGCGGAAATAATCTCTGTGTTCATAGTTTATTTCTTTGTTCTCTGAATACAGAATGATCTAGATATGTATTTTACGCATTTCCGTTGTAAAATATAAGCACGGCTAGGTTTCTCCGGTGAAAAAATATACAGAATAGAAACGAGGTGGGCCTCTAACAACGGATTTCAGGAGTTTAAACGATGACGTAAAATAGCCCAACGCGTTTCCGAAAGTCTGAACGGCTCTCCCAGGCGTTGTAAAAAATCAAACACGTTGGTGGTTTTTCTTGATGTACAAAAGATGTACTAACTCTTCAACTCACCCACTCTCCCTCTCTCTGTTGTCTCATTATTGAATGTATCCGGAAATGAATTTTGTACAGCCTATAGACCCCTTGATGTGTGACGTATCAAAGATTTGTAAAACAACATGCGCGCGCACGCGGATGGGCAATAGATTTTATAAACGCGGTAACACGCTGTCGCACACCTGTTTGCTGTAGCGATCATAACCTATATATTCAAGATTTTATTTGATATTATAGCATTCTGCGGATCAAAAATGGCTCACGAATCACTTTCAGATTATGGTATTGCTCTTGAAACGAAAGATAAACTGCATTATTTGTCGAAACTTCCGCTGAGTAGTGGAGAAAAACTTAAGTATTATCAGACTGGTCTGATGGTATTAGAAATTTTCCAAACATCACTTGGAGAGATGTTACTGAATAGCTAATAGATTCACCAAGTGTTTATACCAAAGAAGCAATGAAAGCCTACATGGATCAAGGCGAATGGCCTTGATCCATGCTTCGCATCTTCTTTTTTCTATCGGCGTTTTCCCCTTCGGAATGTTGTAAAACGGCAAATCTTTCTTAACTCCAATATCTCAATTGGCACAGCCAACGGCACAACTTTGAGGCATAATTATGATTTATGGTTTATTTTTCTATCTTTCTCGCTCTGCAAACTTGCGAACTTTGCCTATCAACCAACACAAAACACAAACACGCAGTTTTTTACCCATCTGCATGCGCGCACATCCTAGGCCGTAAAACGGAAAGTAAACATTTGGAAAGGGTCCATTTATCCAACAATCTTTGGAAGTCTAATGCTCCTTCTCCCAGCATCAATTATGTGATGTGATGCAATATAGTCGAAATATTACGGATATTTGAGGCGACAAAACTGTTATGCAGTGGAACGTTTTGAGTAGAATCGTTTTCACTTTAATCACGCACTATCATCCCTGTACTGGTCTAATTACAACGTAAGCACAGGGGTATAATACAGTTTCACTAGCTACGTTGATTATTTTGTGTGTGAATCAGTTTTACAAAGATGAACGAGACTTACGTATTGGTTGTTTCACGATATTAACGCCAAACAGAACGCCTTTCGATACCAATGAAATAATACAGCTATATAGCCTATCAGACTAGGGACTGCTATCAGATATAGTGTTATCTGTAAAACCGATAACACTATCAATGATATTATGACGATGCATAACCGTTAAATTTCAGTGGTAACTTGTCGGTCTATAGGCATCTGCACGCGTCATAAAAGTTAATTCCAGATTAAAGTTAATCCAGATCCACAATATTTGCACAGAAGGTGCAAGGCACACTGCCAGGCGCACGAGTCAGTGCGATTAACAGTAAATCTACTGTTTTACAAGTTTCATATTATACGGTAATGTCGATAAGGAAACGTTTGCTACACCGGAAAAAAAAAAAAAAAAAAAAAAAAAAAAAAAAAATATATATATATATATATATATATATATATATATATATATATATATATATATATATACACACATATAAGCTAGTATTATACCACGCCGATATATATATCTGTGTCAGTACAAATAAAATTATATAAATGAGTTCAAATAGCTCATAAATATTATAAACAGCCGAAATGAAGGTGTCAAACAAAAATGAGATATTCGTATTGTCAGTTTATATTCACAGGAGTTTTCTCCGAGAGCTCTTTCTCGTGTGTGATTGTGGGGCACTGGTAGGGTATTTTTTTTTAGGGTGTTGCTAGCGATTATCATAACAAATGTTCATGCGGTTTTGATGTCACTATAGTCTAAAAGATCAGGCGGTTTTTACCTTGAATTTGAAACCTGATCGTGAGGTTATTAAAAGTTTCTCTTTTAATCGATTAATGTACTGCATAAGTTGGGAATGTTTTTTTTTTTTTTTCAACCTGGAAATAACATTGCCTTTTCTTTGTTAGTAAATTGGAATTTTCTGTGGGATTTTCTTTTCAACGCAACTTATAAAAATATATATCGATGAATTTTCACATGCATTTTTGACATGAAAATGTCAGAATTTGTTTCGCTTTTGTTTATTATAGATAATAATGGCAACTCATCTCCAAGTGCTCTATGGACTTTGTTGTCATGACGTATCGATACATGATTGAGGGGAGTAACTAGCTCGTTCTGCGCATATACAAGATTAAAAGTTGAGCTCAAAAGTAAAATCAGCTGTTCCAGAGGAAAATTAATCTTGAACGCTGCCAGTGCGCATGCGCATTAGATATTTTGCTCAAACTTTAATGCTGGATTAACGCCCAATCATACGAGGGGTCGGCGGTTCGCGCCCCGCCCAGGCGCGAGAAGTTGCAATTGTGGCCTGGAGGTTACTTTTGTGGCTTGGGCAACATGGCGGGTAAAGACCAAGCTCAGTCGAGTCAGCAACAGCTGACATAAGTTAGCTAGTCGGCACAAGCCCGGGTGAAGCTTAGCTTCGGATTTATACTTCTCTCTCTCTCTCTCTCTCTCACACACTCTGTCTCTCATTCTCTCTCTTGTCCTTTGTTTATATAACTTCATTCACTTTCCCAATATTTCTCTTAAATTGTTATAATATTCATTGCCATATTACATGTTCAAACATTATACAAACACACGTTATTGTCAATATACAAAATCGAAGAAATCAGTATGTGAATAATCTTGGACTTGAGTCGAATTTAGTTAAATTCAATTTGATTCTCAACTGCAAATATGCATTATACGTGTTGACCCCAAGTAGGGCAAAACAACTGCGGATGGTAATGCATCTTATTGAGCTGATAGCAAAGATTAAGCTACATGCATTTCTCTGCTCTTCACTTTCTTCACTATCATACCGACAAGTGGTAAAAACATTTTAAAAGTTATAATGAACTTTTCTATTCTTCTGCCAGGGTGGGAGTGGTGAAGCTGTGAGAGATAGGGTCAAGGTTGGGTTGGGTACGTTAAGATGTAGAGAAACATCAGACAAGGTTAATTTTTGGACTTTTGGAAAATATTGGACCTTAGGGTATTATATTGGGTGTATGGAAACATTGGACATGTAACATTGTTATTTTTTGGACCTTTAGAAAATAGCGATAGCATAGGCTGAGCATCTGCGAGGACGAGTTTGGAAGAAAAATGAAAGATCATAGAATTCTTCCCGTCGGTTTGAGCATCCACCTGCAGGAAATCGAGAACCCAGGTATTTCAGGGGTTGCGAGATAGTAACCGGCAATGTGTTGTTTAGAAGACCCGCGTCCGAGAAAGTCTCAAGCATTCAGCCTTGGTCAGAACTAGAACGTAAGAGGTCGTAAATATTTGTCTTTTTCTGACTGGGACAGAGTGAGTGTTTATTTATTGAGCTCACTAGGGAATTCTACATTAATTCAGTCACATACATTATCAATTTAATCACAGCAGGGGTGATGCATGTGAAAACCAACGCCAGATGTACTTAAAAATAATACACAAACATATTTCCACCCCCAAGTTGGCGTCCCAACTTAATAAGTATTTTTACCCTGAGTGTTGGCACGAAAACATACGGATCCCTAATTTTAAAAAGTTAATCCCCAACCCAAAATGGAGATTAACTTAGGAAAACATACGAACAAACAAAAAATAATGCTCATAATCTCTTGTGTAGAAAAAATGCCGTGTAAATCATTTAGAGACGAGGGCTAGTAAAAAGGGAAACAACACTAAAGGGGGACAGATCATGAAGACTTCCTGAACACGCACAAGGTCAGGCAGGAATCAACAGTGACAACCAATCGAGGAAAAGTAAAAGGGTCCTGAAAGTACAAGGAGATACGGATCCTCAAGCTGAGAGATAATAAAACTAAGTGATAACTTAGTTTCGAACATTAAATGGCAACACTGGAGGTACGGATCCTCAAGCAGTGTCCCTTCTATGTGAAGTGGTCCTTTTATGCTCTCTGACACTGAATACGGCTTTGAGACTTCACCAAAAAGAGTGCCTCCTGCAGATGGTAATGCAGCATGTCACGCACTAAAGTTCAAAAGAGACTAGGTGTCTCCTACACAACCACAGAAAGTTACATAACTTTGGGAAGAGACAAACTCAGAAAACCCTGGCCCGAAGCAAGGTAAATCTAGAAAACGACGACACCGGTCAAATTACACTAATAGCAGGACAATTGAAAAGGACGGAAATCAGGACCGAATTTCTTGCCCTTCTCAAAACTATGGATACTTATACCCCGAAAGAGACCCCAAGCCATGCCCCAAGCATGTCGCGAAAAGAAGAAAATACGCAAGTAAGTACCGGAAGACCAACCCGCTAGTTTAACAAGTCAACAGACCCAAACAGCCATGAAAAGAGTGAGAGAAGAGAAGAAACAGATTTTTAAAAATTCCATGAAACTGAATATAATGAACGATACTAAGATCCAAGGCGAATAATACCTTTTATACCTCCAAAAGATATAGATTATGGTGTACCAGAAAGTGTATGTAGTTTTTTACGGTGCACAATACTCTGGAGAATTATGGCACAAGTCAGCAATATAACACTTTACCTATTGATAAAAAAAAAAGAATAAAACTCACAAGGTGCAGACATTAATGTCTTCATCGTCACGGTTAATGAGTCAGTTTCGCGCATGTCAAAAATATTATATATCACCAGATGTCGAAGCAGCATGAATACTGGCATTGAATATATTTTCGTCATAGGTTGTGTACTGCTAATGGCTAAAAATAATCAGTATACTAGCTTGTTTTGTATTCTGTGAGTTTACTTGATTATTTTGCACGGGTTTATAAATATGAAGCATAGTCACCGTACCAGTCCAAAATTATTAATATGAATTCCTACAATACTAAATGGATTTGAATCAGTACAATTATTAACATTCGGTAATTGGCACCATAAGGCATATACTGGAATCTAACATTTTTTTAACCTTCACATAACTATGAACACTTCTTTATTTATTCACAAATAATAACTCGGAAAAATCGTGTATAAATGTTACACCAGAACAGGAAGCATTGATTTAAGAAATGTTAAATTTTACTTTTGTATTATACAGTAAAAAGGCTATAACCCCTTATATAAATTAAGATAATCGCTTTCCATCTTTAAGTCTTTCCCAAAGAAAGATTGCAACTCATTCGATATGACTCACAGTAGTTTCTATTATACAGGTTATATATATGTATGTATGTGTGTGTGTGTGTGTGTGTGTAAGGAGAGAAAATGTGAAAGGCAGGAAATGGAAGGATAATAAAGGTTTCGGTGAAGCATGAATGAGGCGTGAATGTTTATGTGGCAAACTACGAATGTCCGTGTGAGTTGAAGAATGTTGCTATTGGTCTGTATATTAAATGTAAATTTAATTAGTGGAGACACCTCATCGCAACGAAATGCACTGGAAAGAAAGTCGATCAAGAACGAATGGGCACATCGATAGTGAAGTCATTACCAAGAGATAAACAATAGCGAATGGGAGGAGTGGTAACCGTGGTAACGGCAAGGAAGACGTCTTGCTATTCTAACGGCCTAACCGAGAAGACTAGAGGCTTGCTCTCGTGCTTAGCTGAATCCTGTACATGTATACATACATGTATCCTTTAAAAAATGGACATGACCTTTAAAAAATGGACATGTACATTAATACTTGGACATGTTCCTCAAAAAATGGACGTGTTCTTTAAAATATGGACATGGCCTAATATGAAAATCGGAAATGGTATAATAATTGCTAATGGACTGCATTATGAGGATGTTGGACACGTCCTCTTGTGAAAATCGGAAATGAATTAAACATTGACAATAGACCGCCCTGAGAGGATGTTGTTTTTGTTGTTGCTATTGTTTCATTACTAAAACATTAATTGGGCACGAAGTCATGGGAGAATGGTATAGGAACACATTAAAAATATATGTTGGATACGTTACTTTACAAAACATAAAGATGAATATACCAGCTTGCACAATGTACCTATATACATAAAGAGTAATTTATTTTTAAAAGATGGACATGTCCTTTAAAAACTGAAATGTTCTTTAAAAAAATGGACATATTCTTTAAAAGATGGATATATTCCTTAAAAACTAAACATAAAAACTAAAAAAAAAACTAATATGAAAAGCGGACATGTTATACAGCATTTATTGATTGCACAT